TATATATATGTACATACATAAGAGAAGAAGAATAATTTAATTCAACAAGGAAAAAAATTGTAAATCTATAATTTTATGGTTTGCAACAATTAAAATATGAGAAGTGAGATATAAGTAAGACTTAAGTAATTATTATAGATTGTAATTAATTTTGAAGATACTTCTGATTTATATACACAGCTTAATAAGAAAAATATCTAAGTGAGCGTATCCTGATCTCGCAATAAATGATTAATTTAATCTCGACTTCGTATATGTATACGTATATCTAAAGAAATATAAGACTGATATCGCAGAATAAAATACATGCATTATTAATAATTATGTAAATGCTATATGAAAAATAATATTTTATATCGGGTCGATTTATGATATCAGATAATACTACCGCAAGTAGCTAACATTGGCCGCAATTAATGCCGATACTTAATTCTGAGATCTGCCGATCGTTACGATCTCCAGGCTTAGTTTGTTTTTAATTCAAAAAACAACGCGATGCGTGTTAAATTCGCAATCGCACATGATACTTATTCTCTAATAATAATATACAGCTCGATAAAGAGGTGTATCGCATTTATGATTGTCTTTCAAAAGAGATTGCTTGTTCAGTTAACTACGGTTAACTAACAGCAGCTAGTATTAAGGGATTATTCTAGTTTGTAAGGCGAAAAATTACACGATTATTCAGGAATTGTTTAATGAACGATATTAACGCGTCGGACTGCAGCTTTAATCCTTACTACTTATATCGCGGATGTAAAAGCTGCCTTACGCAGGTTTCGTAATATCACTCGGTAAACCGTATACTTTACGCTTCTCTTCCCGCGGTAAGACCGTCGATTCAAGAAGAAACTTCGCCGATAGGAGTGAAAAAGATTATATCAGTGGATTCTTAGACTTTCGTTGAAAAATGTCCTCATTTTATCCTGAGTATTATTCACGTTACAACAAGGTTTATCTTGTCTTAAAACGTGTTTGCTATTTCAGTGGAAAATATGGCAATGTTTATTGAAGTTGCATGTTATCGTGTTCATTTTCGAAGCTCGACACAGTGGAAATATATATAACAATTGCATCTTATCGACAATTGAAGAGAACATAAAGATAATTTCAAAATGTTATGTCATGTACGATTGGCTTTATTTCATTAATGTAAAATTAATTATTATATATCCATTCTAAAATAAAATCTTAAAATAAAAACAAACGAAATATACAACAATTTCAAAGTATTACAA